CAAAAAAAAAAAAAAAAAGGGAAAAAAAAAAAAAAAAAAAAAAAAAAATGTAATATATGATTTTTAGAAATATTTTAAACACCTCCTTTCCCTATATAGCAAACTGCCACTTATGGGCAGAAGTGGTCTTAAAATGTAGGTGCGCACATTAAACAAAAAAAAAAGTGAACAAAACCTAAAAGGGTCATTCCTGGTTCAAGTATCACTGGTGCTGGACACTCCTTAGCAACGCCACAAAGGTGACATGGCCAGCCTTCCATCTTTGACTTATTTTAGTTCATTTAGAAAGTGCCAATATGCATGTATATTTTATTTTCATAATCGATTAGTTGGCCGATTAAGCGAATAAAAAAATAAATACCATCCTTGGGGAAAAATTAAATGCACCAATGCAGTGTTACAAACAAAGTTTACTTCAGGATAGAGATGCATGCACAATTTCTGGCAATCGCACTGCACTGGAACGCTCAGCATTGCGGTACCGGGGTTTCCAGTGCAAGCGGTCACACGTTTGGGGTGCCATTAAAACAAATGGCACTGCAACGCAGTTCCCACAGCAGAATTTGTCAGATCATAACCGAAAATGACTTTTTCTCCCACCTTTTTCTAATTGTATTGTAAGCACATGGCGCTTGAAAAGCTTCAGCCAGGGAATGACAGCTGCCAGTAGCAAGATTCTGCAGACGGCAGCTGAATGTAAATACAGCAGCTAGTAAGCGGGTGCAATAGACAGCCTACTATTTGCCATTTCAAATTGCAATAGCAGGCTTGCTATTGCACCCACCCACTGCTTGCTGTGCCCTCCTCCCTGCCTGGAGAAGAGAGCTAGGGGATCCAACCAACTAATCCATAGTTGGTTGCAGTCCTACAATAAAACTTGTACATGGGGGAAGCCATGTTGTATCATATAGTATTGTAAATGCCACAGGCACAAAGATCACCTGAATGAGCTCTTCCTTTGAGCTGAAGTCCGACACCAAGACATTCTCTCCATCGGAGACTCGGGTGAGGGATATACACAGTTTGCCTGATGCCAATTCATGTGCATTTTCAGGAAGGTTTCTGTACAGTCCATTCTTCAGGATCTTGACCAGATTAAAGGAAGGGTGTAGTGGGCCCAGGTTTCTCTTTCTGGCTTCCTTGGCCACTTCCATCACATCCGAACAACACTCAGCTGCAACGAGAAAGCGGGGAGATCATCTTTAGAGCCGCCGTATATTGTTACTATGGACCTGATTTGTTGGGGACTTATTCAGTGCCAGTGGCACAGGCAAGTTCTGCAAGCGGCAATTGAATTCTGTAGAAGTGGATGAAAAGGTCAGTCTCCTTTGTGGCAGCAGATTCTTTAGGGGATTTATTGATTTATTTTTTTCCCCCATTGACTTTAATTTGAGTAGCACAACCAGAATACAAACAGGGTCCCTGGGAGTGTGCTATGGGAAACCAAAGGTTTCAAGAAGCAAAGTATTAGATTACTAGGAGGCAACAGGGGTGAACTTTAAATAAAAAATAAATACATTTGTTCCTGCAACAGGTCTGGCAACCTGGCAGTGTTATACTTTAACATTGGGTTGATTGAGAATTTTGAGTTCTATGGTTTGTCCCAACCTCAGTAATGGTCACCTTTGCTGGACAGCTTGGCTTACATGTAAATTTAGAGAAATATATTCAAATAGAATTTAGACACATACACACCCACACGTGACTGCGTACAGTTCTCAGAATGTCACTATTTTTAGCAGTGATGGCATGATAGAATTATAAGTTGATGACTCATTAAATCCAGAGCATCGTTTTCTGAAGCAGAATGTATTTGTGGTCCGAGCCTTAACAAGTAAGTGATACCCTGCCGCCCCCCCCCTCACCCCCCCAATGGCCTGTGGTGTGCCTTGGCCTTCTCAGGTCAGTATGCCTAAAAGGGGGCATACTCTGAATGTAAATGAAATGAATTAAATGAATGAAAGCAAGGGGAATGGGCGGGTGGGGACGTTCGTGACCCGCCGACGTGAATCCCCTGTGAGCCGTGCCGACTTTAAAGGCACAGGCTCCTCCCACAAATCCAGGCTAGCCTTCGGCCAGCCTTCAAACATATTCATTTCCAATTTCTTTTAAAAAATGTTGTCACTCTTCAGAATGCAAAATATTTTTTGCACACTTATCGTCCAGCATTATTTAGTGAAATAATGGAGAAAACAATGAGGAAATGTCTGACCTTGAGCAGACTTGCTTCGGTCTTGGAGATAATGATCTGTGTAAGGACAAACCAAACCTGTTCATAATTAATGAAGGGACTTAGGCAATGCAGAACACAATGTGACCACAACATGACCATGAAATTGTCAGAACTCCTGGACAGGCTATTACTGTAAATCAAGTCTAAGCATGCAAGTCAAAAATATTTATCTGTATTGTGGAATTTGTTTTGTTTTCATAACTGGCTTTTGGCATACACTTGACATCTGACAAGCACATTCCTGAACACTTCCACACGTACAAGCATACAATTCAGACATAATGCTGCCCTAGGGACACTTAAAGTAAATGTAAACCCCGACCATGAACTTCTGATATTTTTTTATTCTGGTCTATTAAATATACTATTAAAAAAGTTGTTATATCTGTTCAATTAGTTGTTTTTTTTTTTAAAGTATTTTATTTATTACAGGGATTTATACAGCGCCGACAATTGACACAGCACTTTAAATAGTTCCACATTCATATCAGTCCCTACCCTCAAGGGGCTTACAATCTAAGGTCCCTATCATACATACATTACATACAGGGCCAATTTTTTTTTTTAGAGAGGAGCCAATTAACGTACTAGCATGTCTTTGGAGTGTGGGAGGAAACCCACGCAGGCACAGGGAGAACATGCAAACTCCTTGCAAATAGTGATCTGGATTCGAACCAGGGACCCCAGGTAAAATATTGCCTGTTATTTCTGCCAGAAGTCATGGGAGCTCATAACTTCCTGAACTCAGAGACCTGTCAGAGCTCTCTGTGGGCTACCAAACACCTCCCTCCATATGCAGTCTATAGAGTACATTGAGTGAGTGTGGCCACCCTGGAACAGGAAGTGTGCTACTGGAAAAGCCTGGAAATAATGCAGCCACCACTTTAACAACTGGTAAGCTGCAAAATAATTACGTTTTTGCTCTTGGGTTTAGTTAAGCTGAACTCCAGATAGCCTAAGATGTGGTCAATGTACATATATAGGAGCCATTTTACCCACTATAGAATTTGTAACGTTGTCCAGCCAGTCTTGAGAGTGACAGCACTGCTGGCAAACATTCAGGTTGGTGACCTCACTTTGTTTATATTAAAATAAATAAAATAATATTGCATGATCACCTTCCTGCCCACAGCCCGAAACTGGAAAGTGAAGAGCAGCAGCACACAGATTAAGTGCTCTCCCCTATCAATATGTTCCTTGCCACCACATGTGTATGCAGCTGAGCCTGATTGGCTCATAGTACCAACCCTTCCTCTCCCAGCCTGTGGCATGTCTTACAGGGGATTACAAAAACAAAATGATCAGATAGACTTTCCTAGTAAAATTACACTGAAACGGTTTTAATTAATATATAAAATTTACATAACACATTCCTGAAGCATCTGCTGGTTTTACTAAATTTTGTTGCTTTTTCTTGCCCCCCTCCCTTGTGCATACAGGAATATATATATATATATATTTGATACTTCCCTTGAAACCGGGCTAAACTAAAGAAAGCCATCCGCTGCTAGGTTAAACTCCAAGAACACTTTATTAAGAACATTAACAGACTCATTTTCAACATTCACTTGTTTTATTTTTTTATATACCTTGATTATATTTTATAAGAATAGATGACAGGCTTTCTACAATATCCTATGGAGGAGTTTAATTTCTTATAGGACTGTGCATGTGTAGTTTTCTCAGATTCCAATATGTGTTCAGGGCTAACAAAAAAAAACACACAACAACAACACACAACAACAACACACAACACTAGTGTGTTCCCCTCTCCAGAAGCTACTTTGTGCTGCACTGGGCATGACTGTCATTTACATTTGAGTTAGGATGGTGTCAGCAATCATTTTGTTCTGCACACTGTATACAGATTACTCATGGTAAACCGGTGCTTTACACATTCCAGGAACACCATGTGATAAAATAAAAGTGGGTTTTAAAAGAAAAAACAAATACATATTTTTTTTCTGTTTTTCATAATTTATAAAAAAACAAACAGAACAAAAAAAAAATTATTGTTGGTATTAATATTATTATTAATCCCAACAACTATTATTTTCATAATTTTTTTGTTCTGTTTTTCAGATTTTGAAAA